TTTTTTTTTTTTTTTTTTAGAGGAAATTGTTCTACCTGCGATTACGGTTACGGTTAATTTGTCTTTTTGAATTAATCTTAGGTAGATCAAAAACGTACTTAGCCATAAAAGGTACGTGTGTCGCGTGTGTGTATAGCTCCGTAGCCATTTTCGTGGCTTCGGATATATTCCGACAATCCATTAACCAGAAGCGAGCGGATACCGTGGTAGTAAAGGAAACGCAATCTTTCACAAACGTCAATGGCGTCGAACCGGTGACATCCTCCCAGACTGCCCGAGACTGACCCCCTGAACGACATACATATCAAGTCCAATAATATTATTAAAATATGTCCGTGCTGCGTATGGGGGATCGGCATAAGTGAAATATGTGTGTGGGATATTAAATCCGGAATCGCGACCGAGATTAATTACAATTTCACCTTTTTTCTTTTTTTTAGCTTTCAGCCCGGCACATTTTTCCATTCTTCCGCCCTTTGATCGTCGATTTTTTTAAATTTTCCACGCAAAGGATGGAAGAAACGAGTATATTTATCGAAAGAATCGGAAAGTTTTTGCCAAATGATTTATCGAGAGAAAAATATATTTCGAACGATCGAAGAAAGGGCTTTGGATGATACGTCCAAGTGGATGAGAATTCTTGATTTACGTAATTTTCGCATTTTAAATGAATGGTCGTTTACGCTTATGTAAAACCGAATGTCGCAATGACCGGGCTCAAAGTATTTCTAATACTACTCAAAAGTATTAGAAAACGTGAATAGTTATGAATATTATTAATTATTAGTAATCGTACATATAGGAAGATAAAAATAAAATATATTATTTAAGATATTGCATAAAGATATTGCATAAATTTTTTTTTACCGATAAACATATAAATTTAAATAAATTTTCTTTTGTTTCTTTCCTTTTGTAAATGTTAAAGTAAAAATAATTTACATATTTAAATAACCAATATCATTGCGCGACAGCGAAAACAGAAAAGAGGAATATTAAAAACGAATATTAATTTCTCATCATTTTTTCCCATCATCGGAATTATTAAAATTTGTATTTAATATCGGTCACCATAAGTGCGTTCATGTACGTGCTGTATCATATGTGTGGGTAATGTGAAACCAAATATACGCTGACCGAATATGATAATGCTTGCCAAATGAAAATAAAGCATCATACATTGAAAACCGCGCAAAAAGCAAAAAACGCGAATCGTGTGAATATGTGTTCAATAAATAAGTAAGCGATAAAAAAAAAAAAAAGAAAGAAATACCAAAAGGTTGTGAAATAATTTTAATAAAAACGCGGCGTAATGCATGTCGAAAACATATCTTCCTGTTCTTTTTTCTTCTATTCTTTCCTTTTCTTTTCGTATTAAATTTGTATTAAACGTTCTCGATAATCGTTCGATAATTTAATATTATTCGACTGAATCGAATCGAGATTTTTGTCGAAAAAAAAAAAAAAAAAAAAAAAGAAATAATAATGTGAAAAATCGGAATTAAATTTTTAAAGTGGAAAAATTTTCGTTGTATATAATTCGTGAATAAAAAAAACGGCTGTAACGGATAGTTAAAAAAGATTAAAAAGAGAATAATTTGTCGGTCAATTTTCGGTATCGGTAAATCGTGTCGTATTATATCGATACATATTATAAATCTAAAAAGTACATATATTTTGGGAACACAATTTTATAGAAGTTAATAAATTACAAGCCTAATATCGAAGCGGTTACCAGTCAAACGAATGTGCTGAAACAAAAACTTTGAAGTTAACGCTTACAATGAGCTAGGTAGTAAAATTTTATCTACTTTAATTAATAATCCATACCTAAATGACTCAATCCTAACAATATGCAAGCATTAACAATGAATCACAACAAGATATGTATACAACAATGGTACTCAACGAAATGTTTCTATGAAACATGCAGCTACCATCTCCCTTTTAAATCTCTATCCGAAGGTCTCCGGGACACGTGTATATGTATCGTACTTAAATTACTTTTCTAAAATAACAGATAACCTCTTAAATAAATAAATAAATAAATAAATGAACGGAACGCTTCAAAACCTACTACCTTTTACGTTGCACACCTACAACATCGTTAATAATAATTATTCTAATTGAACGTACAGAGAATAATTAATTAAGCGGAGTCCCGATGACCTGAGAACAGACGAAGATGCCTATCGCCCGCGCCATGCCTACTAAACTACTAAATTGATCATCGAATGCGTATAAAGTTTGATAAGAGCATATATATATGTATAAATTTATATATATATATATACACCAAAGATGTTGCGGCGTAACATAAGTTTCAGCACTTATCGGTAAGAGATTCTCCAGTAAGACGGTACGCTGCTCTACAATATTACGTGCAAGCATATATTACCAGTTATGCTGCACAGAAGTCTCAGCGTCGGCGCATCTCCTGAATATTGATTGATCATGCCTTTATTGGCTGCTTGAGGCACGGGTATGGTTAAGGTTATCGGTTTGTGGAATTTTCTTCGTCTCGGCTCAACGGTTACGATCGGTGATACAGCCACTCTGTTACCGAGCAGCTTGGCGACAAGATCTGCCGGTATTGGATGCGCCTAAGGATAAAAATGTTATTCTTGTTTATTATTATTATTATTATTATTATTATATATTGTTATTATTGATTGATAAATTGTCGCTTCGTTATCGTCGAAAATTATTATTATGATATAAGCTGAAGCTATGAAACGGATCGAACAAAAAAGAAATAAGCACCTGGAGCCCAACTCTGATCTTTTTAGTGAGAGCCGCTGGTGGGAATACGGCCTGGACTTGAGGTACGGCTGACGAAGAAACGGTGCCACCTTCTGGACCAACTGCGTGAACCTCTTGCCTGATACGGGACACTACTGCGAAGTAATGTGGGAAGTCTGCGGTAAGTATCCTCACGATTCGAGAAGTTTGGAGATCCTCGAGCTGGCTTAATTCTGTAAAATTGTATTTACACATGTATTGAAAATTGACGAAGAATATTCGGGATCGAAGGTAAGAATTTTTATACGAAAATACGAAAAATATATCTGATGTTAATACTGCTTCTTAAAATTATCTTTTTAT